TAACGTTCAATATTGCCATTAGAGTTGCACTTGGTCTTAAAGACTCATTTACACCCGACTGTTCTACAACCTTTAGGCAATACTACTAAATCTTATACTTCATTGTATTCCATTGATTTTAACTCTTCTTTCATGACGTCTAACCACTTTGTAGAATTATCACTTTGAAGGGCTTATGAAAATGAAATTGGATCTGCTTTCATTCCCAAGTCAAATTCTAACTTTTAAAGATAAACCACATAATCATTAGTAATGGCAATCTCCTTTGTCTTTGAGATCTTCTTAATGTCACTTCTTGTTGTTCATTTACTACTTCATGTGATTCATCCATTACAGTTTCATTGACTGCTACATTAATAGGAAGTGTTTGCTTAATTATTTATTGTTCTTGATTGTTATCATAATGTCTAACAACTACAGGAACCACAACCTCAACAGAAGTCATAGGCGTTGGAACCTGTACCCTGACTTCTTGAATATCCACTTTACGTGGTTCAAAACTCCCACTAGTTTCACCATTCTCAATAAAACTTATATTTTCAGTTTCAACTATTCTCGTACTATGGTTGGGATAGTAAAAATGATACACTTTAGATTTTCTGGAAAACCAATAAAAAATTCACTGATTGTTCTTGAATCCGGTTTCTTTTCATGTGGATTATAGATCCTGACTTCTGCCGGGCAACCCTAAACATGCAGGTGCTTAAAACTGGGTTTCCTTCCTTTCCAAAGTTCAAAAAGAGTCTTTGTAACTGCCTTACTAGAAACCTTATTTAATAAATATACAACAGTCTTTAATGCATATATCCACAATGATGAGGGTAACGATGAGTTACTCAACTTACTCCTAATCATATCCATTAACGTACGGTTACACCTTTTTGCAACACCATTTTGTTGCGGTGTTCCTGACATTGTGTATTGAGCACATATGCCTCAACTTTCCAGGAACTTAGCAAATGGACCTCGACATTGTCCAGATTCATTGTATTTACCATAATATTTACTACCTCGATCCGATCATACTACTTTCACATTTCTATCTAATTGCCTCTCAACTTCAGTAATGAATACCTTTAGGATATTAACAGATTAAGATTTCTCACACAATAAATAGACATATCCATAACGTGAAAAGTCATCTATAAAAGTGATGAAATAACTTTCTCTACTAAAAGAAGGTATGTTGAAATGACCACATATATTAGTGTATATTAGTTCAAGGAGTCATGTGCTTCTAGTGTTTGCTTTCTTAATTGTGGATGTGGTTTGTTTTCCCTTAATACAATCCACACAAATGCCAAGATCAGTAAAATCCAAATCAGGTAAAACTTCATTCTTTACTAATCTTTGCATTCTTTCTTTTGATATATGTCATAAATGTTTATGCTATAAATAAGCATATTTCTCATCCACAGAAGCACGTTTTGTTCCTATACTATGATTCAAGGTCAACAACATCTTAGCAAATAAACTATCAAGATGTAATTTATACAATCTATCACAAAGCACACCAGAACCAATTAAGAAATTATGTTTAAATAAACTGAAACATCAATTCCTGAATTTGAAAGAATATCCTTCTAAATCAAGTTTAGATAAAGATATTAAATTACAGGATAACTCCAGTACATAAAGAGTATTAAACAAATCTAAATGATGTCCAGTACTTAAAATTATATGATAGGTTCCAACAGCTTCAACTTGTGCTTTGACCCAATTTCCCATATATACAAATCTTTCATTGTCGTTTATGGTTTGGGTCATAAGGAATCCCTGCATAGTATTAGAAATATGAGTGGTACATCCAGAATCAATCCACCAAGTAATACTTGACTTGCTCACTCCACTCATTATAATTGAATCCATTAAACTTAACAACAGATGAGGCTTGAAGAGCAAATGCTGCAAAAACAAAATTATGCTTACACATTAATGTTTTGAGTTTCATACTTAATTCATAATTTTAGGTTCAGATATTAAAATTTATTATTATTAAAACATAAATGTATATTGAAAATCTCCTTTGGGAGATATAACAATATACGATAATTAAACTTAATTGATGCAATTTTCTTAATTGGTAATCAAATGTATTTTCGTTAGACATGTTCGTTATCTTTGGATATACTAAACATACTCAATCAAGTACATTAATTAACCATAGTTATGTTCATAATTATAGGATTAACCAATCTACCTTTGAGCGATCCTTAACTATCCTATAATTTATGAACTTCAAATTACTCATGTCAACTACATCATGTCATCTCTTTAAAGCATCTAACAATCATGAGTAATTAAATACTTAATTTGATATCTATGGGATAACCATTCTAATTTGGCCACTTTGGTGACTAACCAATTATACATAATATAGTATCAAACTTAAATAATAACTATAATATTATCCAAGGTCAAAATTGGGTCAATTCAACCTGTTGATCGTTAACTTTGACCGTTGACCATTAATTTTGACCATTAACTGTTAATTTTAACAATTGAATGTTAAATTTGACGATTGACCGCTAAATTTGATAGTTGACCATTAAATTTGACAATTGACCGGTTTAGTCAATGGTCTAGAGTGGTTTGACCTATTTACCGATCCGAATCACAAACTGGATCGGGTTTACCCGTTTGACTAAATGGGTTGGGCTTCTTTATGGGTTAAGGTTTGAATTAGGCTCACTTAAAAATATGGCTTGGGCTTCTTTTATTTAGGCTTATATAAACGACAACAAATAGGCTTTAAAAGAAAAATGGGCTGGATCAACATGTGGGTTAATATTTGACTCGAATTCTGGAAAAATTTTGGAATCCGAATTTCTAGAAATTTTTATTGAAAAAACTAGTTTGGAAAATCACATTTCATCATAAGGAAATCTTCGGCCAACTTTCTAGCCACTTAATAGATTCACAAACTCAATCAAATTTACAAACCCAATCAAATTTAGCAACCCTTTATATTTGTCAATTTCCAAACCTAATTCAATTTCTTCACCCCATAAGAACCCTAATATATCAAAAAAAAAAAGCTCAATGGAAAATACATCAGTTTCTAAACCTGGCTCTGATATCACATGTAAAAACTTAATAGCAATTTCATCAATGGCAAAGAAACAATAATACAATCATATTTCTATGCCCTAAATTGCATAAATATAAGTCCCAATATTAGAAACTTAATGTATTTTCACTATTTAATGAAAGAGTATTACATACATGAATCCATGAGTAATCTTTCAATGAGATTGTGAAAGAAGACACTGTATATCTCTCATTTTATTCTCTTACTGTCACTTTCTTCTTTCTATTTATCGTCATGACTATAAGGATGTGCTAAAAGAAAATAAAGAAAGAAATAATCGTTAAATGCTTAAAAATATACAATAATTACTTTTAAAATTATTAATATGATTATTATCATTGTCCACAGAACATATGAAATACAAATTTAATCCAAAATATGTTGATAAGAGACACAATTAATGTACCTGATATCATTACAAACACAAAAGAAAAAAAAAAACCATTAAACTAAACTCGAATTTTAAGAACAATAATTCAAGAGTAGCCATAGGGATAACGTTATTCCAGCAACTTAATTAATCAAACCCTACAATTATATAACTAATTACGTTAATGGGTAGATTATAACAAAGAAAAGCTCAGAAAATTAAGTAAATACAGATGAATCGAGATGAGTTTCTTTCATACCAAATCATGCTCCCATCTCTTGTATAACAAGTTTAAGCTCTGCACAACGAAATAGTTTAAGCATAAACTCGTTTATTTATAGTAGAGTTTTGAAAATTTTATGAATGTTAATTAATTAATATGGTTATATAACTTAAACATATTAAATAGGAAATTAATTAACATGCAAGAGAGAGATAGGAAAATTAATATTTCGCATTTGGACTTTTTAATACTTTAAAATCCCGTTCTAAATTGGAATTTTGAAAGGGCCCTTGTAATTTGGTAACAAATATTCTAAAGGTTGGGAAATTATGATAATTTATGGCATGAAGCTCTTATTTCCTATATAAGTTTGTCCTCTGAATTAGATCAAATTGAAATTGAATATTGGCCGAGAAGAAACTTACTGAAAATTTATAGAACATGTGCTTGATATTTGAATATTATTGTTATTTGATTGTGAAAACAAAATTGAATGTACTTTTCTTAATTAAGAGAGTTTAAGACTTCAATTTGTGGAAAAATACTTTAGCAAGTTTGTATTTCTTATTTATAAGGATTAAATTTATAACACTAGATTAAACACATCAATCTATTACAATCAAATAGCTTCGGAGTTGATGAAATGACATATAAAACCTATAATAATTACATTCAATTTATAACTAATACTTTTAAAATAAAAATCGTGAATTTAAATTAATATTTAAGTTGATATAATCTAATTCATGGTAACTAAGATCAAACATTTAACATTAATACTTGAGTAAAAGACTTTTTCCCACCCTGATATGGCTTAATGACACCTTCCCACTTTAAAAAAAAAAAAAAAAAAAAAAAAAAAAACTTTTAATAACACTTTCCCACCTATCCCGCCAATTGCCAACCGATTCTGATATCGTTGTAACCCACACTATCACCATTCTCTTCCCCAATCACTACTCATCAAAATCCCTCAAACCTTACTCCTGTCAACCTTGCCAATCGCCGGCAATTAAGTGATTAAGATTTGCACAACTGTCCCTCCCAAGTCAAATTTTGACAAATCACAACCATCAAAATCTAACTTTTCACCACCAAAAAACTCACCAGCCTCCTCTCTTCAAAAGCTCCAATAACATAAACTGAGTTTGCTCTCTGTTCGCTGTCGAATAAGAAAATGTATTTTTTGGGGTGGAAAAGTAGTATTTTAAAAGTCTATGGGTGATAAAGCGTCATCAAGCCATTATTTAGGTGGAAAAAAGTCGTTTACAATTAATAATTTCAAAGAAAACAGAAGAATGCAAAAATTAAGCACATTACAAATTATTCAGCCCTTGCAATCGTTGATCAACCGTCATAGCCACAAAAGCCTCTCGCCATTCAGGGATCTGAAACATCTCAACTGCCTTAAAGAAAAATTTGCTCATGGATTGATTAATGTTAACACCTTCCATCTCTTGTAACATTTTGACACAAGCAATAACTGAAACTGATGAAGCATCGAATGGAGGGTGAATACTAGCTCTATCTTCATGCTTCCCCACGCCCATCTGCGCAACAAAATTTTTGCAATTTGTATCAATGATAAAGAGTTCTAAATTTTCACTTCTAGATAATATTTACACATCATAGTAAACGCTAATTTAATTTTGTTGTTAATGTTTATCTATTGATTGAGATAAAAACATTATAATCAGAAACAATATAACAATAAAAAATTCGTCATTTTAGCACTTAAACTTGTCTTCAAATTAGCATCACTTTGTAATTACATTATTATTCAACCTTAATAATTTGATTACCAAATACAATTTTGATGAGCTAGGGTTAGAATACGATAACTTACAGATGGGTGGACATTACAGGCGATTCCCAAGGGTTGTCATCCATTTGTCTCTCGCATTTCCTGTTCATATGCACCTCTTTTATATAATTCTCCACTTTTTCATTTTACCTCAGCTCGAGCCTTCAAGTTGAAAATGATCTCTTCTCTGATGGGGTCGAATCACTTTTCGAATCTATAATATTACTTAATTGATTAGTTTGTTGAAACTCTAGATGATGCCAATAAACATTTAAAACAAAATTTTATAGTATTTAGTCCAAAAAATATTTAAAACACCATCTACTATGATATGTACTTCAAATAAATACCAACTTTTGCAGTAGAAACAAATTACTCAATATGCATAAAAGTTATGTTACCATTAGACTCAAATGAAGGAACATATATGTATTTTGTGAGAGTGTGGATCTCCTTTTTCTCATTGTTGATATTAATCACAAGAAAAATTAAGTAAATGACTATAAGAAATATCAGGCGTCTCGTCCATGCGGCCATTACAAAATTATACACCACGAAATCAAACTGAAGTTAGACATCAAATGGTCAATTGCAGAAGAGCTATAGGTTCATGAAATTAATTAACTACCATAAAGCTTTAAAAAAATTGTAATTATGGGTCAAACTGCAATTGATGTCGATGAACATAAAACCTTTGGAAGATTAATATACATTATTTATTTATACCTGGCCAACAAGAAAGCAAAAGAGGATTTATAAACACTACAAGCTTAACATCACCCTTCCACTGGAAACCTGTCAAAAAAACAATGGGTACTGAATTAACCAGAAAAGAAAAGAAAAGAAACTAACAGAAAATTAAACCCCCTGTTTGTTTCACTATTTTTGTTGATGCTCGTTTTTACACCAACGAATCTTTACGTGTATAATATCAATTAACTGTTCGATGCACGTGAAAATAGAATATCAGAAAAGTAAAATAGCTGTAGAGGGAGTTTTTAAGTGGTTCGGACGCTGAGATAGCAAGTCCTACGTCCACTGATTTGTATTGATATTAGTGGGTGTCAGGTCGCGGTCGCGAGCTGACTTACAACAGACGAAAAAGTCAAAGCAAAGTTTACAAGAGAGATTTCCGTTTGTTCTTTTTTTTTTGTATGTAAAATGGCCGAATCCCCTTAATGAAGGGGTCTTNATGACGCAAAGCCTTATTGGAATCCTCAAATAACCCTTGACAATTCCAATGAAGATTTATTTGTCTAAGACTAAGTTACTCCCTCGTGTTTGCAAACAAAAAATTTGACAAGCAATACAATACAATAGTAAACACGTTTATAATAGTATAAATTTAAATCAAATTCACCTTAGAGTAGGACTAAATTTGAATTTAAAGTTGAGATGGAGACAAAAGCTTGAAGGCCCTACTAATATATGTCGTGTCAAATCCAAAGATCATCGTACTATATTAAATTACATTTACAAAAAGAATGGTCAATTTCTAAACCCAATGAGCTTCACATGAGGACAAGTACAGAAGATTTTTTTTTTTTTGGGAAATACTAAACTCACTGCTGCTACACACTTCTAACGAACATTCCCATTGAGGTAGAGTGCGACCTGGATAATCTTTAAAATAATGTTACACATACATCATTCTCATATAATATTTCTCATTCAACATTATGTGGCAAGATATAATTGGGTGAAAGTTTAATTTTAATTTTAAATTAACCAATTATATCTTACCACATAATATTGTATGAGAAATGTTGTATGAAAATGATGTATATATAGCATTACTCAAATCTTTATCTCGACCATATTGGACTTCACATCACTATGCATGTTCATTCGGTACACAGAATGATAAGCTTAGTCTTACCCTATTTTTTTTTATATTTTGGGGAGTTGTTAGGCTGGCCTGCCCATCTGCTACCAAACTAAACTAACCATATTGTCCTTTTTGGTCAAATAATTTGTTTTTGAAAGCCACGTATCTTTTCATAGTGAAAAATGTCTTCTTTTTTTTTACTCGATTAGTGATATTTAATCAAGAGTAAGTAATTTTTTTTTAAAACTATATAAAACTTAATAATGTAAGTTTTTTTTTTTTTTTTTTTTTGGGTTAATATATGGTTTAAAGATATGATTAATTTGGTTGAGATTTTGAGAATCCAAGTAAGAAAAGAAAGTTTGTTGTTTAACCAACCAATTGTGATCTATTAAACCCCTGAATTTTATAAAATTAAAATGTTACCATTTTGATTTCTTAAACAAAACATAACACCCCTTCAGTTTAGAGCTGACAATTACTATTGGCCAGCTGAAGAACTCAGGTTTGTGTAATTTGCTTCCATGGTTCCACTATTTGCCATCTCAATGGCGACAAGGATTCTCAGTAAGCTGAACGTTTTCTGGCAATAATGTAGTAGAAGGCAATATAAAAGTGATTTGCAAATACACTCATAAAAATTACAGTAAGTCCTGATGATGGAAATGCCATTGAACAAAAAATAGATGTTGGGTTTGATGTTAAGGTACCTCGACATCTTGACACTGATGATGAGATCACTCATGTAGATGATGGTAGCGACGAAGCAGACAAGGGACCAAATGCTGTAGAAGCCCTTAGAGCCTAGGTGAAGGGGCCAAATGTTGTCGATGCCCTTAGAGCTCAAGTGAATTCAGTAGAAAGAGACAAGCAATCCTCAAGTTCTAGTAATAGTAGTGGAAGTGGAAGCAATGGCGGACCTTGGATATTTGCCGGGGTGAGCCTCTACAGATTTTGTATTGTTTGCCAATCAACTAGCGAAAACTTTTAAAAAACTATCAAACCTTAAGCAAAAAAAATTTTACAATATCAAGAAGCTGAAAAGAAATAATACAATAACACAAAATTTTTCTACTTGAATAAATCTATAAGAAGCAAAACTTGAGTAAATGTGTTGATTATAATATCTAATTCACAAGAAAACATAGTATGTGAAAAAATCTTTTCAATATGAAGAGAGCAAAAAACACTAAATCTAAACCCTAAATCTTGACCAAATTTGCTTTCAATTCAAATTCTTCTCTTACCAATTGATGTTATTGATGTCTTATGAAAATTTGTGATGAAATTAGAAGGGAAGAAGCAAAGACCGAATGGAAAAATGAGTTGAGTTATATGCACTTCAAAAGTTATGTTTTATATGATTAAGTTATTAACAAAATTAAATAGTAAACAATTATACTTGCTTTTTACATTAGATTGCCATGGTTAATATTCAGTGAATGATTCAAATTGAATTATTATTTTTAATTATATTACATCGTTGTCATTAGTTAGAGGATAGATTTGTGAAAAGAGTATAACATAATCATTCGAAATTTATTAAAACCATAGAAAGATAATGATAATTATTAAGTAGATTATTAGTTTATAATTATTTAAATTATTAATTTTTATTTCTATTAAAAAGGGGTGTAACTTATTGATGAAATCTTTTATTAACAGAGAGAATTGGCCTCTGTTAAGTAATTAATTAGGTAGAGGGATGAAAAACATAAAGGAAAGTACAGATAAAATGAAAATGAGGCTAGGTCATAGAATTAAACATCACAGTTAATAGTGATTTGTGCGGTATATTATATGGACTAAATTAGGGGAAAGGGGGAGGACAAAAAGGTCAAATTAATAAAGACAGGTAGAATCCCAAAGGATAAAGATAGATTCTAGAGAAGCCTTTTCCATAGAAAAAACTAGTTTTTTTTTTTTTTTTAATTTCCCCCTTATATATATATATATTAAATCGCATGACTTAGATTAATGATATGCTTGCAAGAACCACCACTGGGTAGTCGAGCGATCAACCAAGATTCTTGGGTTTATTATTCAAGAGGTCTTAAATTTGACTCTTCTTAGTTGCTAATATAAGTGACCACTAAGGGATTTTACCCGATCGTTACTTGTTAATTTCAGGACTTTAAAAGATTAGTTGAGATATGCGCAAATTGACCTAGACACCCCTGGTTACTAAAAAAAAAAAAAAAAAANAAAAAAAAAAAAAAGATATATTTTAAAGTATTTTTGAAATAATACCCTAAATTATTTTTTCATTTTATGAAATATTAATACATAGTTCTTTAGAAAAAAAAATTAATTAATTAATTTATTATTGAAAGAAAAAAAAAACTATAATTGAACCCAAGAAATGTGAGCATTTCACGAAAAATTAATAACCTACGAGGTCAAATGCTCATAACACAGAACCTTATTGGAATCCTCAAATAACCCACACGACAATTCCAACAAAGATTTATTTGTCTAATTATATACAATATAATATAATAAAATATGTATATAATAGTATAAATAATAAACTTAAATCAAATTCACGTAAAAGTAGGACTAAATAGAATTTAAAGTTAAGAAAGATGGAGACAAAAACTTGAAGGCCCTACTAAATACTAAAATATGTATTGCCAAATCAAAAAGATTACTGTACCATACCAAATTACATTGACAAAAGAATGTACAATTTCTAGAGAGTAGACAACTTTTTCCCACCCAAGGTTTGGCTTAATGACGCTTTCCCACCCGTCAAGTTTCAAAATGACGCTTTCCCCACCCACCATTATATTCCGTTAAGAAAATCCATTCTCTGACATGGTATAAATGGTGTAAAGACGAAAATACCCTTTCCTCTTATTCTTCTCTTTGTTGCCTTTGATTCCGGCTGATTCACTGGTTGAGGCTTGTCGTCGAGCACCTGATGTGCTCCCGAGAGGAGAAGAAGTGGGAATGGCTGGGAAAGGTGGAAAAACACCCAAATCAAGCCAACTAACACAACTCAACACAACCATAGCACCAAAACAACCAGAACAACAATCAAAATGCTTCAAAAAAGTTCCAAAACAATCAAATTGTAAAACCTAGCCATGGTGGAAAGTGGCAGTTCACGGCCTACGAATGGCGAGTAACCAAGTCTCAGGGTTTGAGAGGTTTTGTAGAGTGGAGGTTGGAGGTTGTATTGGTGGTAGAAGATTAGGTTTTGGGTGCTGGAATTAGGCAGAAATCGGCTTGGAAACAATGAAACCTAACTTGTGGTGGCCGGCTAATGGTGGGTTGAAATATGCGGGGATCAAGGGGGTTTTGGTTAGAGAAGATTGAGGAAGCTTGTGGTGGTGACGGGGAAAGCCAACGACGGTGAATTTTGGCCAAATCGACCGGAGACGATGGGGTGGGAAGAAAGTAAAACTTGGGCCAATTTTATTTTTTTTAAAGTTAATATATAGGGGATAAAATAACGTAATTACCCCTTGATTTCTTTTAGAATTTACTATTATATCCTTCTTTAGTTAAGCTTGATGGATGGATTTTAACATGGGTGGTAAAGTTATATTTTGAAACTTTTTGGGTGGGAAAAAAGTCATTAGGCCAAACCTTGGATGGGAAAAAGAAAGCTTTCTTTTTTTTTTTTTTTTGGGGTTGGGGGGGTGGTGGGTGTGTGGAGGGGAGAGGGGGAAGAGTGGGGAGAAGTAATTGTTAGGCCGGCGTGCGCATCTACTTCCAAACTAAATTAACATATTGTCCTTATTGGGTCAAACAGATTTGATTTTTCTATTTATTATTGAAAGCAACATTTCTTTTCATAGTGAAAAATGTCTTTTTTTTGGGGTACTTGATTAGGGATATTTAATCAAGAGTAAGTATTTTTACTTTTATTTTTTTATACTACATAAAACTTAATAATGTCAAGTTTTTTCTTTTTTATTTTTGGTTAATATATGGTTTAGATTTTGAGAATCCAAGTATGAGTAAGAAAATAAAGTTTGTTGTTTAACCAACCAATTTTGCTCTATTAAAACCCTGAATTTTATAAAATTACAAGTTACCGTTTTGATTTCTTAAATATCACATAACACCCCTTCGGTTTAGAGCTGACCATTTGAGTCGATTTACAGACTCTTGACCTTGCGGACCAAACCTAATGGATTCTTGAACTTATACAAGTGAAATAATAAAACCCCTTTTATTTTTAAGTAAATTACAACACTTTTATCTCAATATAATCAAATTAATAAAATTTTTGTGATGAATTTAATATTAATGACAAACTATAGGGGCCCAAAAATAATTTTGAAAATGAAGGTGACCTGAAATAGTAAAGTACAGTTCCAGATGAGATCACGGTAATAGATTAATAGAAAACGACACAACCGCTCACCAACTCTTACGGCACGTGTCTCTCAATCTCTCCGTCTAAATCCAGCTGAGAATTTATTTTTGTCCCTGTGGTTTTGATTGACTCGTTAAGGACACTAATTTCAAATACTAGCATTTTCAACTTTTGACTCGATAGTCCCCGTGCTTAAAATTTAAACTACACGTTATATGTTGGTTTACCAAACTAATTATTAGTTAATTAACTCAAAAGTTATACCATATTAACAAAATTACCCTTCTAAAAAATAATGCGAAATACATTATACAAACAACCATGGAGCGTGGCTAAAGTATATCTGAAAATCTGAAATTAAAATAGGGATATATTTTATAGTATTTTACAATTTTGACCTTACTAAAATTTTATTGACCCCACTAAAATTATTTATATTTTATTGACCTTATTAAGATATTTCCATAATTTATTGATCATAGGATTCGAAAATACCCATTTTTTTCACGTTTTCTCTCTTCTTCAGTTCCTCTCCTCTTCTTATATTGACCCTATTAAAATTATCTATATTTTATTGAGTATACTAAGATATTTCCATAGTTTATTAAATACCTTTTTTTTTTTTTTTTTTTTNAGAACTTTATTGACCAACAAGCCCTCCTGATCCTGCCTCAATGTGACAGTAATTTTATACGCTTCCAAGAATGTGGGCACCGCCGCTGGATAATCCAAATCAATCAGAACCGACCACGGCATCTTGCATGGCACCACGTGCCGGAGAAAGACCGATGAATAATCACTGAAATTACTAAAATAACCCTCCATTTTCTCATCCGGAGGAGCGAACAGAGTCAGCAAAGTTGACTCCTTTGTCGTCCCCATTTGCAATTCAAGAAATGAAGCCATAATTGAGTACCCTTTCTCTTTCATTTCGTGAATAGCTTCATCGAAACTCATCGAGCCATCGCCGTCATCTTCATCGTCATCACGTGCCGATGCTACACAATCAAGATTAGGCCTTGGAGAGGCACGAAAGTGTGGATCAAAGAACTTCTCAATCCCAAAGATTCTCAACCACCCGTCGTCGTATATCACTGAGCTGGCGTTAACCTTGACGCCATTAAGCAAAACGGAACCCTGATCACGAGAAGGCGGTGAAGTAATGAGGAGAGTGTGGTAAGGGGAGAAAGTTGGAATCTTGGAGTTAAAAGGGAGGGATTTGAGGGACTGGGAGGTCAACGATTGGGGAGAAAAGTGAAATTTCAGGAGGGAAAGAGACGGTTGGCCGAATGAAGCGAAGGTGGAGTCGGAAGGGGTGAAGATGGTGAGGGATTCAGAGCGAGGGATCAAGTTCTTGGAGCCGAATTCAAGGGTGAGAGCCATCGAAAGGAAGCCAGAATTCGAGAGTATTTCGACGGCTTTGGAGACGGAATCGTTGGAGAGACAGGAGGAGAAAGAGAGGAGGGAAAACAGAATAAGGGAGATGAAAAGTTTGGGGGCCATTGATGACAATTCGGGGCCTTTCTTTGCAAAGTTCAGTGTTCTCATGGTTGGTTATAGCTGCGGAGGAGGAGTGAAAGACGTTGGTCGAGTTTTAGCGGGAAAGGCTTGACACGTGGCGAATTGGGTTCAGACTAGGAAAAGTGGTTTGAATTCCGCAAATGCCCTTGATTATATTTTTATATCAATTAATGTGATTATTATGGTTTTTGTGTATATATAAATTCTTATGCATAGTGTACTATTATTCATATATGCCAAATGCTTGAAAATATACAATAATTAGTTTTTAGGATTATCAATATGATTATTGTCATTGTCCACATAAAATAACAAAGAAAAGGTAAATAGAAGCTGAGAAAATAATAACAAAGAAAAGCTCAGGAAATTAAGTAAATAGAAGATGAATGGAGATGAGTTTCACACAAAAAAAAGCTCCCATTTCTCCTATCACAAGTTTAAGCTCTGTACAACGAAATAGTTTAAGCATAAACTCGTGTATTTATAGTAGTGTTTTGAAAAATTTATGGATGTAAATTTTTATGAATGCTTCAATTAATTAAATAGGAAATTAATTAACATGCAATAGAGAGAAATAGGAAGATAAATATTTCGTATTTGGACTTTTTAATACTGAAAACCCCTTTCTAAATTGGGATTTTGAAAGGGTCCTTGTAATTTGGTAATAAATATTCTAAAAATTGGGAAATTATGATAATTTCCTATATAATTTGTCCTCTGAATTTTGTCAAATTGAAATTGAATATTGGCCGAGAAGAAACTTACTGAAAATTTACAATATTTGTCCTTGATATTTTATTATTATTATTATTATTATTATTAGGCAGAACGACTTACATCTACCCAAGGTTTGGAGAAACGATGATTGGTACCCAAAAGGTTTCAAAAAGACAAACAGGTACCTTTTGTTAGAGAAAAGACTAGAATGCCCTTTGAGAAATATTAGTCTATTTTTTTAATTACTTTTAGACCCCTTAAGTTTATTAATTCCATCAAATACCCCCAGAAAAAAGTTTAAAAATTAACAAAAATACCCCCACCCACCCATACTTGCCAGATTCCGGTGGCCACCGCCGGTGGTAGCCGGAATCTATCACAACGGTCTACGCTACCATCGGAAATGGTTGGTAGTTCACCGATCTGGCCTTTTTCGGTCAGATCCGTGGTGGATCTGGTAAAAAAAGGCCAGATCGGTGAACTACCAACCATTTACGGTGGTGGCCATCGGAATCTGGCAAGTATGGGTGAGTGGGGGTGTTTTTGTTAATTTTTAAACTTTTTTCTGGGGGTATTTAATGGAATTAATAAACTTAAGGGGACTAAAAGTAATTAAAAAAATAGACTAATATTTCTCAAGGGCATTCTAGTCTTTTCCCTAATAGAAGGTACCTGTTTGTCTTTTTGAAACCTCTTGGGTACCAATCTATCATTTCTCCAAACCTTGGATAGGTGCATGTCGTTTCCCCTTCATTTCCTGAAACCTTGGATTAATTTTCTTGAAATTTTGAAAGAGTCAACTTCATTTCCTCACCAATTTTTATATTGTAATTGATATAACAATGGTAATGTTATTATAATTTATAAATACTTAGGGAGTATTTTCATGGACGGTTAGCTCCTAACTGAACAACTAGATATGTAGTTTATTTCTACGACGTTTTTTAGCCATAAAATTTAGGGTTTGAGTTCCCTCATAATCTATTTGATCAAAGACTTTTAAAAGGTTTACATAATTTGTTTCTCAAATATTGTAGGGTTTGACGGTCTGATGAGAACTCCAATTGTGAATTTCGGTTTGTAATGTAAAACGTATAATTGAAAGTACACAAGTACAATTTCAAGGTCGTTCGATGATATAATGGTAGTCTAAATTTATAATAACATCAATTAAAAATTGTTAATTTGTTGTTATAGTTGAATCATGATAATCAAAGTATAAAGATTCTTACTTAATTAAGATATAATCATACTTCCAACTACAACCACCCCCGCTGCCCCAAGACAATTTGTAAATTTTATGTAATTTAATAAGAATATTGATTTATAATTACTACAATATTAGGGTAATCGTACCTTTCAATGTTCACTTTTATATTTTGGTCTAAGATATGATTAAGATTTTTCCAACCAAAGATTATTTAAAATGATAATTGGATGTAACATTATCCTCAATTAGATAACCATTATTCCCTTTACAAATATGTATAATTAATTTCTAGTAAATTTATTTATTTATAAAACATTAAAAAAGGAGTAAAATCAAGTGGGACATCCCTCGATAATTGACGGGATTTATCCATGAATGAAACATTCACCTTTATTTAATTATAAATTGCAAGTTCTAATCAATTAATATATGTTAATTTCCCCATATGTGACAAAAGATTGAAGATTCAAAGAACATAATTTGCACCTCAACTTTTACAATATTGTTTTCTTTTGCCTTCTTAAAGTCCAGGATATTTATATCCTAAAAATTTTGTATATAAAGATAAAATAGTCTATGAATAAATTTGTAAATTCACTAAATTGTTTTCAAAATAAGGGCATTATTATCAAAAAATTTAATAATTAAGGGTAAAATTGTTAAAAAAAAATAAGATTACCCAAAACTCATACAACTCTTAGACATGGCATTTCATGCATTCAAATCATCAAACGCTTCTCCTTTCGACACATTTATAAAAGCTAACATAAAATTCAGTAAGAGAAAGAGACCTGTCAAATCTAATGACTGTATATCATTCGCTCGTTTCCATCATGTCTTACTCCAAGCCTGCAGTCTCGGATCGAAACTTATAAACGAATGAGATGAAAGACATTTAGTTTGACGGTGAGGATTCAAGCACATCAAGCTTGCCAAGGCGCCACTTACTCACTCACAATTCTATTTAGAATAATACTACACCAACAACCATCTCTCACAAATTTTCTCTTACAACTCTGACATGACAGCTTGCAATTGGTCAGTTCACAACAGGTTCCACATGGGTCTTACTAATTAATTACAAGCGGACCAATTACGAGCTATCACATCAGGGTTGTGAGAGAAAGTTTGTAAAAGAGGGTTGTTGGTATAGTATTACTCCTTTATTTATAATTTATCGAACACACACCGTGAGAGGGGAAACAATTTGTCAGGAGACAGAAGTTGGAGAGTAAATTTATAATTCTCTCTACTTCTAGCTTCCATTTAAAATATTGGAAAAATTATCTGTTTATATACCAATAATTTTTCTTATTTTTTTTAGTATCTTTTTACATATCTAAAAATTATTTGTTACATTTTTTGCTGCTGGTTCAAGTCAACTAATTAATCAGCTTCTATATCATTCTCATCAAATTCGGACCTTTATAACTGAAGTAGAAATTCTTGTAAAATTATTGTTTTTAATGAAATTTTGTAATATTGGCACGTGTTTGATGAATCTACCATTCAATGATCCACGTTAAGGTAATTAAACTAGTTTCATTCACTTAGGATCCAACATTTTTTTTTTTTTTTTTAATTTTGTATCGTATTATATATTATATATGCATATAAATTTTTCTATAGAATTTTAGTTCACTCTATAGAAAAATATAAATGTTAATATCATATAAATATTTAACAAACCATTTAAAGAAAATAAACTTAAATCTGATTTATTGGTAACTTATTTCAAGATCATTTAGAAAATGCTATAATAAGCTTTTTAATTTAAAATGAATTAATTATTTTCCATGAAAAAAAATAAATTGTTAGCAATCTTTTGGACAAGTTCAGTCTCTGTACTCTATGGGTTCTAGGCTTGGGCCTCGGGTTCTATAGATTATGTGGTCGACAACACATAACAGGTACCACGCGATTAGTCACACAAAAACCAAATAATTTAAATTGGCCCGGTAACATTACTGGGCCTGTTCCATGGATGGGCCATTCTTAACATAATTCAATCATGTAAATATTTGGACCAAACTTTTTGTCCCTATCATGAGAAATTTTGTTCAATCATCAGAAGATTTAGAACAAAATGACTAGTAAATGGATTTGAAAGTTAACATAATGATCAAAATCCTCTATAAGGGCCTGTTTGGTAGGTTATTTGAAAAATGTTATTCTAAAAAACTATCAGGATAGGATATGATTAAATCAAATAGGATAAGATTTTGAGAGTGTATTTGATATAATATTTAAAATCTAAGTTGGATAAAAATTAGAATAGTTGTCTGGTACACTTTTGGAAAATATTTAGATTATTTTTTGAGAATATTTAGATTATTTTTTAACCCCCTATATTTGTTAATTTACCTAAACACACCACATAATAAAAGTTTATAAATTAACAAAAACACCCTCACCCACCTAAGCCAATGCCAGAAGCCGACAATCGCCGAAATAGCGCACGATCGACTGGATCTCGCCAGTTGTGTATCAATCTGGACAGATTTACGACTAGAGATATGGTCATCATCAACAGCCATATCTTTGGTCGTAGATTTGGCCACATCCGATCGGTTGTGCGATGTTCCGACGCCGACAGCTGGCAATGACCTCTGGTGGAAGCTGCAACTATGTTTGCTAGCGGCCGATAATGGCTTGGCTGGGCGGGCATGTTTTTATTAATTTATAAACTCTTATTGTGAAATGTAGTTGTTTTTAGTTGAATAGACTTAAAAAAATGTTAGAATAAGATAATAGAAAACAAGTCCCACCCAATTTTCATTTTCAATGGAAAAAATCTTATATGATTCGGATTGATTTTCAAAATAATGATCTCAATAAGTAAACAAACACATATTCTGTTTTTTAATCCAAATATGATAAAAGAAAAATGATTGAAAAGAGTGAAACAAACAGGGGATTTAATTTTCTGTTAGTTTCTTTTCTTTTCTTTTCTGGTTAATTAAGTACCCATTGTTTTTTTTGACAGGTTTCCAGTGAAAGGGTGAAGTTAAGCTTCGTAGTGTTTATATGTCCTCTTTTGCTTTCTTGCTGGCCA